CTCTAGACATATTCCAGCTTGTGCTATTCGTTTAAATGGCACCAAGATGATGTTTTGGTTTGAGTGTTGGAAATGAGAAAACAACAACAACAGTGTTGGAAATGAGAATAATAATAATAATTAATAATTAACTTTATTTATACCCCGCCACCATCTCCCCAAAGGGAACTCGGGGTGGCTAACATGAAGCCAAGCCCAAAAATAATACAGCAGAGTTCAAAACAAAGCAACAGAAAAATTACATCACAGCAAAATACATAAAATAACAGAATAAAATAAACTGTGCAAAATAACATAATATAAATCAAACACAAAGGACAGGCCAAATGCGTGAGCTAAAATGTTAAAACCCTGGAAGAGATAGGAGTAAAAAAGTGTATTGAAAAGTGTATTTGTGATGGAGGAGCCCAAGAAGGGGAGCAGTAGGGTTTGGCCTTTATTAACTGATGGGTATTAGAGTCCAACAACATCTGGAGGACCACAGCTTCCTCATTCCTGGCTTAGAGCTGGGAGGTTCTCTATCATAAGAAAAAGGATCCCGTTCTTCGATAGAAATGGTCATACTTAATTTGAATATTACCTTCTATTTGTGTAAAAGGAGCAGACAATGATATATGTAAGTCTGCTCCAAGTTTTTGCTGTGAAATGTGTTTGCATGTGCATGAGAGAGAAAAAAACAGAATACCTAACCGGGGGGATAAGCATACTGAATCACCACATGTCTATTAGGATTCTATACACTTTCTTTCCATTCAGTCTTTCCCTTCTGCCAAATGACTGTGCTGTCAATGTGACTTGTCATACAAATCTGCCATGGCTTTTGGATGGAAGTAAATGGTATTGTAATGAAGTAGTCGTTTCAGTCCTGTTCTTCTAGACTGGGGTGATGAATGTGTGGCTTTCCATTGGTCCTAGCCAGGGTAACCAACAATGTCTGTTGTTTAGAAATACTACTCAGCAACATTTGGAAGAACCACAATTTTCCCATCTCTGGTATAGATGTTCACGGTGTAGTGCTCCTGGTGGCAAATATTTCAGAATACCTACTTCACATGCAGCTGGTTGCTGGAGGTGATGGGTCTTTAACTTCTGAATTTTGTATGACTTTTCCTAGGAAGTGGAATTCCTTTCTTCATCCATTGCACAACTTAAAGTGGTACAGACAAAATATGTGGAAGCAAAGGACTGCCTGACTGTCTTGAATAAAAGCAACGAAGGCAAGTACTGTGTATTGTTCAAATATATATGCTATTCTCCTCAGAGTGAGCAATGAAAATAAAGCCAAAAAGAACCAATGAATTCAATAGGCACACTTTTTAGTAAGTAGATGCAATGGAAAAACCGACGTGACTTTTTAAAAGTGATTGAGGACAGATGTAAATTCTAACCATCTTTCTAATCAGCTAGAGAGAATGCTACTGGAACATGGCCATACAGCCCAAAAAGCTCACAGCAACCTAACCAAAAACGTGTCATTTAACAATCAGTAATATGTCAAGACCCTACAATTTAAAAAATTGAAGGCAGTGGATTTTATGTTTCAGATTATTCAGTTGTCCATAATTGGTCCAGTTAAAGCATAGATGATAGAATAACACTTGATATTTCCTAGATTTTTCATTTGAGATACGAACTTTGGGCTCTCTAATTTCTTCCTGGCCATTATCTTCCACTAATATGTGCATTTATTTCCTCTCTTTCATCTTACACAGAATAATGTCACTTAGATGACTGTGCATAGTACTAAATATGCAAATATCAATACAGGCTAATGTGATGGTCTAATGTGATGACAAAAGATGTTAAATAATCGATTTAAATTGTGCATGTCTGCGCAGAAGTAAATGCCATTTAATTTAATTGATTGTGCTTCCACATAAGGGGTTAATGGATTCCAGTCTGAAGTTTCTAATTTTGAGAGAAAGGTGAAGCTTGAGCTTATCCACCATTCCACTTGTTATCTTGATAATTTTACTTCTCTATCTTTGAGTAAAACTACGCCATCTGTTCAGTGATTGTATATACGAAAAATGCATGTACATTCTTGGGCTTATTTGAGACTTTCATTGGTCTGCTGAAACAATTGAGTTCAACATCTTTATTAATGACTTAGATGAAGGGTTAGAAGGCATGATCATCAGGTTTGCAGACAATACCAAACTCCAAAAGACAGGAGCAGAATTCAAAATGATCTTCACAGATTAGAGAGATGCGCCAAAACTAACAAAATGAAGTTCAAAGGGAATGCAAGATACTCCACTTAGGCAGAAAAAAATGAAATGCAAAGATACAGAATGGGGATGCCTGGCTCAACAGCAGTACATGTGAAAAAGATCTTGGAGTCCTCGCGGACAACAAGTTAAACATGAGCCAACAATGTGATGTGGCAGCAAAAAAAGCCAATGGGATTTTGGCCTGCATCAAGAGGAGCATAGTGTCTAGATCTAGAGGAGTCATGCTACCCCTTTATTCCGCTTTGGTTAGACCACACCTGGAATATTATGTCCCAATTCTGGGCACCACAAATGAAAGGAGATGTTGACAAGCTGTAATGTTCCAGAGGAGGCAACTAAAATGATCAAGGGTTTGGAGTACAAGCCAATGATCAAGGGTTTGGAGTACAATGAGGAGCGGCTTAAAGAGCTGGGCATGCTTAGCCTGCAGAAGACAAGGCTGAGAGGAGATATGACCATGTATAAATATGTGAGGGGAAGTCATAGGGAGGAGAGAAGAAGCTTGTTTTCTGCTGCCCTGGAGACTAGGATGCGGAACAAATGGCTTCAAACTACAAAAAAGGAGATTCCATTTGAACATTAGGAAGAACTTCCTGACTGTGAGAGCTGTTCAGCAGTGGAACTCTCTGCCCTGGAATGTGGTGGAGGCTCCTTCTTTGGAAGCTTTTAAACAGAGGCTGGATGGCCATCTGTCAGGGGCGCTTTGAATGCAGTTTTCCTGCTTCTTGGCAGAAAGGGGAGCAGGTTGGACTAGATGGCCCACAAGGTCTCTTCCAACTCAAGGTTCTATGATTCTAACAGTTTGTGGCAGCCATAAAAATGAATGATTCTATGATTTTAATTCAGTTGGATGATGGGGCTGAGGAGGGACTATTGTTCACCTGGTTTTGGGTTATGATGACCTCTAGATTCAAGAAGTAGTGATTGGAAGATGTTGGAGTCATATACTTCTGTTCTTCTTTCTCCTCTCTTTAGTTTTGTTCCACAAAAGAGGAATAAAATATACATTATTCTGGCATCAAAGTTGTTTAGAAGGAAATCGGAAGTAGTTCACGTGACCAATCATTTACATTTTGTTATAAAAAGTACTTTGTGTATTATGCTGAACTAAGTTTTAGAATCACTAGAAACCTTTTTTAAAGGTTTCGGACAGGAGTTAGGATAGTTTCAGAGAGTTCCTCTTGTATAAAATACCTGTATTTTTTCCTTTGCAGGTAAAGAGCTCCTGGTTCCACTCTCTAGCTCTGTATCCTTTTTGTGCTGCAACCTATTAAAACTTTCACTTCATAAAACAGCATATCCACCCAGTAACTTGATAGTTGGGCTCATTTGCAGAGAAGTGTCTGTTTATTTATTCAGTGATATATTAGTCAATCTTCCTTTTCTATAATGACCGTAAGGTGGTGAATGAAGCTTCTCTTAACGTACACTTTATCTAATTTTCTTCCAGGCTGAAAGAGGTTGTCTTGGGCCAAGGTCACTCAGGGAGCTTCACAACTAAATCTGGATTTCCCAAATCCCATGCCAACCATTGTGCCCCCTTCCCTGCCCTCTTTTACATTTGTTTGTATCTCAGAACAGCCTTTTTGGGGAGCTAGCCTGAACTGTGGATATTTGTACATGTGCTTCAGTCAAAGGTTATAAGAACAGCAAAGGCTCTCATTTCTCTTTGGAGGTTTTTTCCAGGTTCCTAAGTGGTCACTGGGAGTCTTTCAGTCCCCAGGTAAAGATAAATATTGCTTTAGGTAACTGGTTGCCTCATCTCCAGAACTAGACTCACCCCCTCCCCCGCCCCCTCCAATAACTCTGGAATTTTATAGCCCATGTCATTTCTTTGTGGCAGTTCCTGGGTTCTGGACTAAAGCAGTACCCATTTGTTTGTTTTTTAAAAAACTGAGTGATTTTACGTAAGCAGGCAGTTGTCCGAGAACAGAGCCAGAGAAAAACAAAACCTGCCTTTTTCCCAGGATCCTCAGAGAGATAATTCCAGCTGCATCTGAAGTTGTTCTTCGTCTAGCAACTACTTGCCTCTCATAATGACTGCTAGGTATCAGTCATTTACATACAGACTTTTACATACAGTGATGTCACATCTCTTCATGGTGACATCACTGCACAGACTAAATTGACATCTCCCCAAGGTTGCCCCTGTCTGAGCAAGGTAAAGTGTTCTGTACTACTGCTGAGAAAACATTTAGTAATTTGTATTTGGATTGGTTATCCTAACCATTTTATTGCATTTGTTCTTCTTTTCTTGAGTACAACTTTATCAGGGAACGCCTTCTAATACTGGTCTCTGTAAGAAGTACTTCATTTTCAGTTCTCACAATCTAACTTTGAATGTGTTTTAACTTTTAACTTTGAATGTGTTTTAATGGTTTTTAACTGGGAATTTTTAAATCATGGTTATTTTTAATCTTGCTTTAATGTTAGTATATTTTGTATATTTTTAAACTGTTGTGCTGATGCCTTTATGTTAAACTACTTTGAGTCCCCTTCAGGGAGATAAATCAGAGTATTAATCATCATCATCATCATCATCATCATCCTTCCTGTTAAGACTAGAGTTATGTAATTTGAGAGCAACTTTAAGAAAAAATGAGCAGCAATATCCAGTCCATAACAAAGACCTCTCAAATAATCCAGCAGGGAACAAGCAAGATCTAATCAAAGTTATTGGGAGTCAAAATCGGCAAGAAACAGAATTGGAAACTAGCATTTTTTAATATTTGAAACATATCCAGGAGATCCCAAAATAAAACTTTGAAACATGTATCGGGTCTGTTAGGATCAAGGAGGAAAGAGAAATGGAGTGGGGAAAAAAGAAATCTTGCCAATTAACAGAGATCCACACTTCCTTTAATTACTTCTTTTTTCTGCACTTGCCTGCTTTCAAAATTATTTGGAGGTACATGTTCTAATTGTTTTTTCTGCTACACTGTTCATATTAGGATAACTATATTTCTCAAAGTCCCTATACCTACCTATTGATGGCTTCTGAGAAACAGTAATATAATCCAGCCAGACATAAATCTGTTACAATATTATATACAATTGCTCAGGTGTTTTATGGTGTACTTTTATTATTTAAGACATTTCTGTCAAGTTATCCCATAGTGAGGAATCTTTTTAAATTTAGCTCCCCTAATCCATTATCATTTGTCATCAAATGGAGAGTGATGGGAGTTAAAGTGCTAAAACAGCTGAAGACTACCCAAAACATCCCAGAAGTTAACAAAATGATTCCATCTATCATGATAATTCATTTTCATATTTCTATACATTATCTAAGTGAAATGCTTCTGAGGTTCTCCATGCTGCCCTGATCTCAATATCTCTCCTTTAATCCTGGAATGCAAATTGAATCCATCCTTTACCATTTTGGATTTCCCCCCTGGCTTTGTATGCATTTCCTTAACTTTTCTTGTAGATGTATGTTCCTGGGAAACTTTCAGACGTTGGCAATGTCTTAATAGATGTAGGAACAGGTTACTACGTAGAAAAGGTAAGCACTCATGATTCTGATTTATGTAAATTGGCTTGATGATGGCCATAATCTAAATGAGTTGTAACACATACTTGATCTTCCTGTGAAACCTTGGCGGGGGTGGGGGGTCTACTGAGGTTTGAGTCTCCACCATTTTCAGCCTCCCAATGTTCAGTGAGCTCAGCATGAAGATTATGGTTTAGTATCCTGGCGGTTGATGGTTTATGGCTTTATGTAGTCTGCCAAAGTTGTCTGACTCAAGAGCAGAGGTAAGGAATCTGGGTCCCTCCAAATGTTTTATGTCAGTCGCATCCAGCAAAATCTGGGGAAAATCTGGGGAGTCATTGCTTCCCCTCCCATTCTAGACTGGTCAAAATGCATTTTTTTTCAGATACCTTGATCCATTGGTAAAACAATAGATTGAGACTTCCCCTGATCCAAGTCTGTCTTTTCTTATGTAGTACTATGTACTCTGTGTTGGAAAAAAAACCTGATATAAACATCAACCCTTTAGGTTTGTACTCAGAGGTAGACAAGATCTTCAGCATGATGCAGAGGGCCCAAAATGTGGAATTGCCCTTGAATAAAAGGACATTACTGGACCTCCTTGGTATACTCTGGTTTGTGAAGGAAGATAGTTCTGTACAGTGCTCTATCTAACACAGTTGTTCTCAACCTGTGGGCCCCCAGGTGTATTGGCCTACAATTCCCAGAAATCCCAGCCAGTTTACCAGCTGTTAGGGTTTCTGGGAGGTGAAGGCCAAACATCTGGGGACCCACAGGTTGAGAACCACTGATCTAACAGCAAAAACATCAGATATGGGGAAATGATTTCTGATAAAGTAAAGATACTATTATTAAGACAACCCCTCTCATTTCCCATGTATCAGATGTATCGTACTAGTGTGTATGACAGATTATAGGTCACTCCTATGCATCCATTTTTTGTTAGCACCCATGCTTCTTGCATTCATGATCATTCATAGAGAAAAATAAATAAAAATTGAGGTAAAACTTTGGTGGAATGCTGCTTAAAATTAGATGTGTCACTTTCAGTAAAATGTCTAGCTAATTTAAAAGAAGTTTCACCAAGATAGCTATCTTTCACATATCCCTGTGGAATAAATCTGCAAAGTAGCCATGTTTTTATGTGTGTGTATGTGTATAATATATATACACATGTACACACACACATATATGCACACATAAACCCACAGAGAGAGATAATACACACACACAGGGTATACACACACAGAGGTCTCTGTCAGTTTGTCTACCCATCCACCCGTCTGTACCACAAAGACTGTTGCTATGTGAAGGGTTGTTTTTTTTTGTGATGTTACTAGATTGGATGTTTTTAGGTCAAGGATTGGCTGTGAAGCTAGGCCCTCTTTGAGGTCACTCGGGAAAGGGAGTGAAGCAGCTCTCGCTACTGTGTATGAGGGGAAGGGAGGAAGGAAGGAAAGAGCCACAAAGAGAGCCATGTTTCCATAGAGATATTGGCAGTAAGCCTTTTCAAAGCTGGAGAAGGGAGAAAGGGGAGCAGAAGGAAAGGGAGGACGGAGTGGGGAGAAAAAGGAGGGAAGGAAGAAAAAGGAATGGGGGGAAGTCATGAGAGGGAAATAGATGGAATGAAAGCAGAGCGGCGGCAGCTCCTTTCAACACCTGGGCAGTACTGGGTATATATACTCTACTATGAATATAAAACGCCTGGCGTTATAGCAGCCCTGTACAGGAGGCATGCCAGACTGTTTCCAAGCATATCAATGGTCAGAGATTGTGAGGGTGCTTGTTTATGCAAGTTTCCAACTTGGCATTTTTTGGATTAGAATGAGAGATAATGTAGAGTTGTCATGGTGCCTTTGTTCTTGCAGTCAGTGGATGATGCCAGAGATTTCTTCAAGAGGAAGATCGATTTCCTAACCAAACAGATTGAGAAGATCCAGCCAGCACTGCAGGAGAAACATGGAATGAAGCAAGGTAGGACCTGGAGCTGGCAGCTTCTCAGCTGATTTTAACAGCTCCAACTAGCTAAACTCTTGTCCCTCTTTTGGTCTCTTCTTTTGCAGCCGTGATGGAGATGATGAGCCAGAAGATTCAGCAGCTAACAGCAGCAGGGGCTTCACAAGCAGCAGCAACAAAGGCCTAGCAAACACAGGTCATTCATGTATCTACAGTTTGTCTCTTTGTGATACAGTCCAACATTGTACCCTCAAAGTGCAGCAATCCAGACAACTGGGGTTTTTATTTTCGGGGGAGGGATGTCTCTATTTGCTTGAATGTGTGTGGAATTCTGGTTTGGCCCTAATCTGGAAATGATGGCATCTTGCAGATTCATTTGTTTGCAATCTTACAGTGGCTCTGTGGCTAGAGGCCTTGTGTTTCTGGTGATCTAATTCCAGACGCCAGTAAAACTTCGTTACTTGTAAATGGAATTGTATAAAAATAAACAGACAGGTTTACAGAGCATGTAGCATTATGACTGGTCTTCACAAATATGAGAGATCAATGCAGAGAACTGGGACAGGATGATATGGAGCACTGAACTTCCCAGGATTGATTGCAGGTTACGTTTGAATTAAATGTGCATGCAATGAATGTCATCATCATTATAGGCTGTCTCTTGTGGCCAAGTATGATTGCCTTCCAAGTGTAGGGTCTTGGTGGTGGGTCTATAGGTGACTGTAGAGACCTATTCCTGATCTGCTGGGGGTTTTTTTGGCATTAGGTCTATTTCTGTACAGGATATTCTTAACCATATAAACTTTCACACAGGCTTCACTGACCTGGACTCTTGAGTACAACTCCCATTGTCTCCAGCAAGATGACCAGTGGCTGAATTCAGCTACAGTACTGGAGAAGAACACTACATTGTAGTTTAGCCTTAATAAGAATAAGCTACAGCTTAGCCTGGGGCTTGCAGAATTCTGAGGACAAATTCAGCAAGTTAGCTTTCTGATTCTGAATTGCATACAGTTTATTGCAGCTATGCGAGAGACAAATAGGAATGCAGTGATGTAGAGGATGTCAGTCAGAGATTCCCACAAACTCAACTTTGTAATGTTAAGCCAGATAAGAGCACAGTGTGCCACCCAGGGCTTTTTATGCATCCGCTGGATCACACCCGCTCCCTATTTACCATGGAGGAATATGACATGTGCTTTTAATTTCACTCCCTCCCAATCTTTCTTCAACCAAAAAATCTTTTTTTTTAGAAACTGGATGTGAACACTGAACTATAACAAGCAAGTTGTACTTGCGTATATCAATTGATAAATGGACATAGAGGCTTGATCCTTCCCAGAGCTGGGAATGTTATTTCTTAAAATGTAGTTCAACTCACCTATGAGTCTCAAGCCATCCTGAATTGCTGTACAAAACACATCTAGTGAGGCTACATACTTGATTGCTATAAAAGCAACTGAAACAGTTACAATTACATTGCAAAACTCTGCAAAGATATTATTCCTTAAGTTACAATTGTAATGCAATGTGGTTATATCTTGCTTACTGCAACAACAAAAAAGGAAATAATTGCAATAACCCATTCTTTTTCATTTCTTACTTTCAAATTATGGGCCTTGGTCTATCTATTTATAGCCTTTTCAGCTGTGCAATGTTATCTTTTCGGAATTTGGTCCACTGATTTTCTTTTGTCTTTTGAACAGCTCCTCTTAGTCAGAAATGTATGAAACAAGAAGTGGTTAGTGAGAGAAAGAGAGAGAGAGACTGGCACTTTGAGATAGGGGGTACACAATAATTTATTTTACAAGGTTGATTCCAACCTCTCGTCCCCACCTATATTATTTGTCCTCTCTTTCCTTCTTTTCTTTTCTTTTCTTTTCTTTTCTTTTCCTTGCTCCTTCCTTGAGGGAACTCAGTTTTTCTGCATAGTACTCTCTCTCCAATGAGAGTCCATTTGTCCACCAAAGTGCCAAGAAGCCTTACTTTTGTCTGAAGCTCTTTCCTCCTCTCCTTGAGGCTTTCTACTATGGCTTCTATCTAAAGAATACTCCCACCTCAATGTTATGTACAGTAGCAGTACCTGTATATTCTCAAAAGGGAGATTGCATTTGGTCTTGACTAAATGCAATCAAAATCTTGCCTTCAAAGCAATCTCCATCGTATATCACATGGCTGAAGTCCAACTTCCTCCCTCCTTCCCTTGCCACTGCTTAGTGGTCTTGTATGGTGGGTCTAACAGAGCCTTTGGTCTGCCCAAGCAAGACACAGGTTGCCGTTAGAGACTCACTTTGGCCCCCCAGCCCGTACACTCTAGGCTGTAAACCTCACCAGACGCGGTTAAGAATGCTCATCCCCCAGAGGGATTAAACGTTTTAACGCACGAAGATGGGCTTGTGCACTCGCTTGTGACGGACCAATGTGGTACTTTTAGTGAAACACTCTCCACACTCCACACATATGAAGGGCTCGGATGGGGCGACACCATGGTGAGCAACCCGGTGACGTTCTACTTCGGATGGGGCGCGGAAGCGTTGGCCGCATTCTGGACAGGGGTGACCTATGGGAGAATCTGTGTCATGACGAAGGCGCTGGTGTTTGACCAGGCCAGCCGTGTGTGCAAAGCCTCTCCCGCACTCAGGACAACGGAATGGCCGGGCTCCTGTGTGTGTCCGCCGGTGCTTGGCCAGGTTTTTGCTTTGGGTGAAGCTGCGGCCACAGTCCCCACAGGTGTAAGGCCGCTCCCCTGTATGGATGCGCTGGTGCTGGATCAGGTTGGAGCTCCAGCTGAAGCTCTTGCCACAATCGCGGCAAACATAGGGCTTCTCACCAGTGTGCGTGCGGCGGTGCTGAACCAAGTGCGAGTTCTGCGAGAAACTCTTGCCACAGTCAGTGCAGGTGCTGGGCCGCTCACCTGTGTGTGTGCGCTGGTGCCGTAGCAGTTTCGACCAGTGACTGAAGCTCTTGCCACACTCATTACAGATGAAAGGGCGCTGCTTGCTGGATCGTGAAACCATGTTGGCTGCAACCGCTGCCTCACCCTCACAGTAGCTGCCAGGAGGTAGCAGGCCCCCTTGCCGTTCTATCGCTGAACCTTGCTGCGAACTGGCCTTCCAAGAGGATTGTCCATGGTGGATACCAGGCTGGATGGTTTTGTGCTCCATGTGGTCATCTTCCTCGCCCTCGCTCACTCCACTTTTGTCAACTGCTGAGAAATAGCCATATAATTCAGTTGTTGCCAGAAACATAGATTAGGAACTGGCACTTTTATCTTCAGCGGCCAGAAATGTATGCTGCTGGGGAAATGACCAACAAGAGCATATCACAGCAGTGTTGAACCTGTGGCTCTCCATATTGTTGGAGTACAGCTCTCATCAGCACTGATAAGGTGCCAACATCCTCAGGAACTGTGGTGGGGGAATATGTGAGTCTGCGTATGTTTCAGATTGCAGTTCCTAATCAATTTAGCTTGTAATGCAGGGTGCTGGGAGTTAGACGTTAGCATATGCTTAGGTTGAGCATATGTTCAGAAATATCGCTGTTCTTTACTTCTAAGCGTATTCCTCCCTGGAATTTTGGCCCTAGCTCTTGTTGGAAAATTTCAAATAAATGCAAAGTAGTTTACACAAGCCTGGTGCATATTCGCTCCAGTTAATAAGTGAACTTTAGCGAGCTGCTAAATCTACTATTGAAGGACCATGTGAAAAAGGAAATCCTTTTAAGTCTGATCACATATCAAACTATAACTTTAACAGCCAGCATAGCAAATCATCTAGAGTGTCAAGCTATGATTTGTGAGGCCCAAGTTTACATATCCACTCAGTCATTAAACGTTCTGCATGGCTTTGTGCAAGTGATTTTTCTCTTAGTCTAACCTACCTCCTAGGATTGCTTTGAAGATAAAATATGGAATGGAAAGCTTGCATGACACACTGGATGTGGGGTAACCTAAGGGTTTAATGGCTTTGTAATAGCATTGAGCTGCTCACCTACATAGACTCTCTTTGCCGTTCCACCATCATCTGAGTCATGAATCTCCACAAGGCTTGGATCTCTACACTCCATCTCAAAGCAGGATTTTTCAAGACTTTTGCTGTTTTGGGGAGAAGGAAAGAACTGAAGTTAGAGAAATTGCAGGTATGTATAGAACTAGTAATACCCTATAAACAAAGCAATACTATGTTAAAGGACCCAACTAAAATCAAGGTGAAACACATGCTTCTTTGATTACCATGCTGGCAGTCATCAGAGGCATAACAGAAGTGCCAGGATAAAAATCACAGCAGTTTTCATAACATACCCAACTCAAAGGAGACATATTGATAGACATATTGATTGAAAATATTGACTCACTGGCGTGAATGTATGCTCCTTGGCTAAAAGCCAGAATCTGACAAAGCAAGAATCTCCAGAATGTCATTGAATAATAATTATGAAAGCTGATCTTATGTGATCGAACTCCTTACATCTACAACAAAAAAAGGTTGATTTTTCAACCCACTGTTGCAGATGTGCCTTTTAGAGCAACTCATACATATTTGTGTATGGCTGTTGGATGTAAAGCTGATTTTTTTTCAGAATAAGCTGAATCAAAGTTTATTTATTTATGTATTTGCACTATTTATACCCCGTCTTTCTCTACCCCAAAGGAGACTCAAGGCGGCTGACACAGAGGCAATTATTCAATGCCTTAAAATACATACAATTCCAAAATTTTAAATTAAATTAAAATGAATACATACTAAACATTTGAAAGCATTACATTTCACATTAAAATTACTCCATTCATAATCGTAGTCCAAGTACTTAGCCAATGTCTCCTGGTATCTCCGGATATGGCTGGGCAAGACTCCTGTCCAAAGTCCTGAAGTTAATAATAGATGCTGCTGAAATAATTGAACAGTGAGTATGACACTTGGTCTGTTGGTAGTGTCTTGTGCTTCTACTGTACATCAATATGGGTTAGTAATCTTGTGGATTTAATGGAAAGACTGTTCGGAAGGGCTCAGTCTAAAGCTTACTTAGAAGTCCTTCCCTGCCTGCGGACCTCCTGCTGTGTCCCAGATAAACAGGTTTTGGCTGAGATTACCCTGGTTAGAAGGAAAGGTGGTTTGCATGCACCCAAGGAGTCTCTACTTATCACAAGATTCCAGCCCCAGCAATATGCTCACTTTATACAACCAAATCCTAAGGGGTAATAAAATTTCTTTATCCAAATTGGCTGCCACAGTGCTGTAGGCACAGATTATATACATGAAATATTTACAGCAGGGATTGGGGGGAGGGGGCATGTAGTTTCCAGAGAGCCAGTGCAGTGTCGTGCTTTGAGTGTTTGACTACAACACTATAGACCAGGGTTTTGATTCCCATAGACCAAAGGTCCTCAAACTTTTTAAATAGAGGGCCAGGTCACAGTCCCTCAAACTGTTGGAGGGCTGGATTATAATTTGAAAAAAAAATGAATGAATTCCTATGCACACTGCACATATCCTATTTGTTGTGCAAAAACACTTAAAAACAATACAATAATTAAAATGAACAATTTAAACAAATATAAACTTATTAATATTTCAATGGGAAGTGTGGGCCTGCTTTTGGCTGATGAGATAGGATTGCTGTTGGGTGCTTTCAAGTCATTTCAGACTTGGGTTGACCCTGAGCAAGGGCCGGGTAAATGACCTTGGAGGGTCATATCTGGCCCCCGGGCCTTAGTTTGAGGATCTCTGCCATATACCATTGAAACTCACTGGAGTCACACACACTCAGCTTCAGAAAGACCTGTAATAGGGTTGTTGTAAATCTAAACAACTTGAAAGCACACAAAATTGAATATAGTTTTGAGATTGCTGCACTGCAACACACAACAGCCTTAGCCAGCAAATATAAAATGCAGGTGAGAAGTGTCTTTCTATAGAAAGCTTTCACATTCTACTTTTACATCCAAAAGAAACCACTACAGTTGCCAATTCTCAAGCTATAAAGGCATTAGAATTAATGAATGTTGAATTCTGTTGTTTTGCTGCATGCTCAACACAGCTACCTCTGAGAATGGGCTATGGGAAGGAGCATGGAACATGAATGAGATGAAGTTGTGATCAGGCACTCATACCTTTTCCAGCAGGACTCTCAGATCCCTGGGTGACTTTTGTATTTTGAGCCAGTGTGGTGTGATGGTTTAAATGTTGGACTACAATTATAGAATCCATTCAGACATGAAAACTCATTGGGTGACCTTGGGTAAGGCTCAGTCTCTTCTGAACATATCTTCCCAAGAAAACCTGTGATAGATTTGCCTTAGGGCTGTCATAAGCTGGAAACAACTTGAAGACACACAACAATTCAATCCATTGAGTCTCAGATGAGGAAAAAGATGGGATAATAACAGTTCTGACTGGTAGTAGCTGCAAGGTCTCGGATAAGGAGAAGACTCTTTCCCATTACCTGCCACATGGCTCTCTTTCTATTTCTATTGGTAGTGTTGCCACTATGCTAGCTGAACCCTTCCTACATACATAATACCTATAAAATCCTATACTTCCTCCACCTCCAATACAGTCATATGGAAATTGATAAATCAATTGCTTAAATACACTATGTGATGTAATAGTTTGGGTGTTGGACCAGAATACTGGGAGACCAGGGTGTGAATTCATGCTTTGCCAAGGAAAGCCCATTGGGTGACCTTGGGCAAGTCATACTCTCAGCCCGGAAAGCAATGGTAAATCTGCTCTGAACAAATCCCACCAAGAAAACCCAGTCATACGGTTGCTGTACATCAGAAAATACTCGAAGGCACCCAACATATATATGTACAATTAATATACAAGTATTGACGCTGAAGGCACTGGATTTCACCTGATCTTCAAAGTTAAGCAAGGTCAGACAAGGTTAGTACTTGGGTGGGAGACCAGCAACAAATATCAATATGCTGTGGACTGTAGTTCAGAAGAAAAACCATCTCTGCATCTTCCTTGCTTAAGAAAAAGCTATGAAATTTATGGGAGCACAATACATCAACAGATGATTTTGAAGGCATTGGTGCACACAATCCTCTTTGCATAAAAGTTACACTCACAAGGAAACTCAACCAAGTCTAGTGGACTCTATGGCCACAAAAACACATGGCCAAATTATCACTGTAAACATGCCTTCCAGATGGGATTGTCACCAATAATCTCCGAGGTTAAACAGTCATCATAACCCTTATCCGGCTGAGGGGGAAAATAAAATAGCCTGAGTGTGGGAGTGAAGTCCAAAACACCTGGAGGGCCCAAGTTTGCACATATCTGTCATAACCCCTTTGTGGTCATGTATGTATATTCAGACCAGTAGATTATAGGTGCATCCACACTGGAATTAATGCAGTTTGGCACCACTTTAGCTGCCATGGTTCAAGATGATGGAATTATCGGAGTTGTAGCTTTACAAAGTTTTTAATAGTCCTGATACCTCACCAATGCTTTGCCAAGGAAAGCCCATTGGGTGACCTTGGGCAAGTCATACTCTCAGCCCGGAAAGCAATGGTAGGACACCATAGTACTGAGCCACAGCAGTTTGTGGTGTCAAACTGCATTAATTCTACAGTGCAGATGCACCCCATGCCACAAATATGCTGCAACGCTAAACTTGCTGTAATCAATAGGGACCACCTTTGAATAGGCATGCACAGGACTGCATTGCAAATCTGTTGATCTTTAATGTGTCCTCAGACACACATTTTTAAGGCTATATATAGACATATATAGATAGATATAGACATAGACATATTTAAAGACACAAACACACATAGCCCCTGGTGGCGCAGTGGGTTAAACTGCTGAGCTGCTGAACTTGCTTATCGAAAGGTCGCAGGTTCGAATTTGGGGAGCGAGGTGAGCTCCTGCTGTTATGCCCAGCTTCTGCCAACCAATGAGTTCAAAAACATGGAAATGTGAGTAGATCAATAGGTACTGCTCCAGCGGGAAGGTAACGGTGCTCCATGCAGTCATGCTGGCCACATGACCTTGGAGGTGTCTACAGACAACATCGACTCTTCGGCTTAGAGATGAGCACCAACCCCCAGAGTCATACACAACTGGACTTAATGTCAGGGGAAAACCTTTACCTTTACAGGCTATTTCAAGAACTCCTATCTGTTTATATGAGTCTGCCTGAGTCTTACAATATTCATCAGATGGTTTTCTCTCTGTCTGACCATGCATTAAGGTTTGTCTCAAGAACACACAAGAGAGAGTCTTCTCGGAAGCTGCTCATAGTCCTTGGGACTTTCTCCTGTGGGGATCTTGGTTGGTCTCTTCTATGTCCTATTTCTGCCAAGAGGCAACGTCCTTCCTAATGAAACAGGCCTTCAGTCTTTAACTGGTTGTGGTAGTCAGATATGCACAGGTGTGCTGTTATGTCAAAATCTCGTTTTTATTTTTAAATTGATAAATAGCATCTTGGATGGATTTGTTGTTCAATGCTATAACTTTTATACTATATAATTCCTTAGCTATTGTGTTTTAGCTTGCATTGTAAGCCTCTTTGAGTCCCACTGTGGGAGAAGGTAATGGCGCTCCATGAAGACATGCTGGCCACATGACCTTGGAGGTGTCTACAGACAATGCCAGCTCTTCAGCTTAGGAATGGAGATGAACACCAACCCCCAGAGTTGAACATGACTGAACTTAATGTCAGGGGGAAACCTTTACCTTACTCATTGTTTCATAAGTTAGCCCCAGCTTCTGCCAACCTAGCAGTTAGGAAACATGCAAATGTGAGTAGATCAATAGATACCACTTCTGCAGGAAGGTAACGCCACTCCATGCGGACATGCCGGCCACATGACCTTGGAGGTGTCTACAGACAACGCCGGCTCTTCAGCTTAGAAATGGAGATGAGCACCTTCTCCATCTCAGACGTCAAAAGACAAAGCCAAGGGGAAAATGTATTGTCGAAGGCTTTCATGGCTGGAATCACTAGGTTCTTGTGGGTTTTTTCGGGCTATGGCCATGTTCTAGAGGCATTCTCTCCTGACGTTTCGCCTGCATCTATGGCAAGCATCCTCAGAGGTAGTGAGGTCTGTTGGAACTAAGAAAATGGGTTTATATATCTGTGGAATGACCAGGGTGGGACAAAGGACTCTTGTCTGCTGGAGCTAGGTGTGAATGTTTCAACTGACCACCTTGATTAGCATTTGATTGCCTGGCAGTGCCTGGAGCAATCTTTTGTTGAGAGGTGATTAGATGTCCTTGTTTGTTTCCTGTCTGTTGTTGTGCTGTTCTAATTTTAGAGTCCTTTGTCTTACCCTGGTCATTCCACAGATATATAAACCCTTTTGCCTAGATCCAACAGACCTCACTACCTCTGAGGATGCTTGCCATAGATGCAGGCGAAACGTCAGGAGAAATGCCTCTAGAACATGGCCACATAGCCCGAAAAAACCCACAAGAATCAAGGGAAAACCTTTACCTTTACCTAGAGACATTTTATTTTTGAACTTTTCAAAACCAGCCCTCCTGAGCCTGAACACTATTCAACCTCTGTATTTAGGGACAAGGGATCACATCTTCCTCTCCCTCCTAAAAGAAGCAACTTTTGAATGAATGACAGCTTGCTCTCGGAGGGGCCATCTTGGGACCCAGCAATGTCATTTGGGGGCAAGCAGGTGGGGAGGGGGAAGCAGAGAGAGGCTCAAATCCCTCCCAAATTTTGCAATTCC